AGGTCAGCTTTGTGCATGCGCCGCTCAGAAGTGACGAATGCGGAAGTGCAGGGGAGAGATCAAAACAAAACAACGGTCACTAATTAGAAGTACAAAACGAGGATTTGTAAAAAAGAATGTCGGAGGATTTCGATATAAGCCAAGAGGAGACTGGTTTTCCTTTGCTAAAGTAAGGAAACTTTGCTTCCTTTGCTCCTGTAAACAAACGTTGGTTTTCACGAGACTCACCGGCGCATGCGCAGCACTGACCTCATACGTCATCCTCCCGGAGCTGCTTCCATGTAGGACTGTTGGCACAAGCTACATTAAAGTGATTATTACGTACCCATTTTTTAATTCCTGATGTGCTGTGGGCTGGGTGAAAGTTGGCGGGGATAGTAGTTAGTTACATTTTCTTGTATACTTCTTGTTTATTGTAATATATATGTTACTTTGAAAAAAAAAACTTAAATACAAAAAAAAAACAAAAAAAAAAAAGACAAGAAAGTGTTACCCAAAGCTGTTATATCACAGGTTTTGAATTAGCACCTTGCTTAAAGGTGACATCAAGTTGATCACCCAGAATAAACCTCTCTAAAACCATGTTTTAAATCCGTCTCATTCAGAAGCCGGCTCGAGGGAAGGCTCAAGGGGAGGTGATGCCGACTCTGGACATGGCTCTCTTTGACTGGACTGATTATGAGGATATGAAGCCTGTAGACACTTGGCCATCCAACAAAAGAAAAGGTATGAAAGTACATTCTCAAGTTTAATCAATAACAGTGATTTTACAATCTGTCAGATTTGGTTCCTTTTTTTTTAAAGACCAATATCTTTGGGGAGTTAAGACCAAGCTATACTGAAAGATCTGAATAAATATTTGATTATAAGACTGGATGTAGTTCTCCCAGATCTTTAAACCTCTAAGCGTAAATAATTTGCAAACTCACAGCTGATTTCTGAATAAAGGATTTCATAGGAGGCCTGTGTCTGTCTTTTTCCCCAATAAAGATAAACGTCGTGGCAAAAACAAGAGTAATGGGAACGCAACACTTGATGCTGATGTCATTGACCCATGTGACCATCATCTCGACTGCCTCCCTGGTCAGTGCAACGCTATAATTGTTTTTATATTACAAAGGAATAGTTCGCCCAGTCACCACATTACAAATTTGTCATTATTGACTTTTCATCATGTTGTACCAAACCTGTATGATTTTCTTTTTTTCGATGGAACACTGATGGTACATTAAAAAAAAAAAAGTGTCTTCTCGGCACATTCATGAGCGAATGAGATTTACCCTTTGAGTCTGATCTTTTCAGCCAGAATAGTTGATTTGGGTACAGTGACAACTCTCTGCCTAACTACTGTAGTATGATGTGTCGTTGAATAAATTACCCAGCTAGTCACACCGTGGTTTGTTGCACTTTTTAGCAGCATCATATGACCCCTTTAAAGAAAATGAAGTTTATTTTTAGAACTATAAAGATCTTTTACATTGCATCAAGGCCCTAACCTGGGAAAATGTAATAAATTGAACTTAATAAATGTAAATGTAAAATTCTTTAGGTCTGCGTTGTTATGCCAAGTTCCACCGCAAGCGGAGGGTGACCCGAAGACGGGGCCGCTGTGTGGAGCCAGAATCAGCCAACAGCAACCAAGGAGCCTTCATCACCATCTGACATATAGAGAGATACCCCATGACTGATGATGGACTGAGCTTTGAAGAATGTGGGTCAAAGTTAAATGTCCTCAGCCCACAGAAAAAATTTACATACACTGTTCATCTGCCTGTCAGGGTTCTGCACCATTCAGAATTAAATATAGAATGGCTTTTAAATTCTTGGATTTGAATTGAGGTAGCAATCAGGATACAGAATTAATTTGAAACAGGAAGTAGAATTGTATTTTTCAGTTTGAATTAATCATAAACGTTATCACACACTCAACATATGGGATATTTCTAGAAACACTAGATGATATTAATAATAAAATGTTTGAAATGCCATATAATCAAATTATGTTTTTGGACCATGGAATTAATCAAAGCCACCTAATGGACCACTGAATTTTTTTTAACATACTTTTACTAGTAGTACACTTGTGTGGATAGATGAGCTCCATAAACACTGATGGTACATAAAAAAAAAAAAAGTGTCTTCTCGGCACATTCATGAGCGAATGAGATTTACCCTTTGAGTCTGATCTTTTCAGCCAGAATAGTTGATTGGGGTACAGTGACAACTCTCTGCCTAACTACTGTAGTATGATGTGTCGTTGAATAAATTACCCAGCTAGTCACACCGTGGTTTGTTGCACATTCGTTGTCCGAACCACATTGGTTTAGTCAGGAACATGTCTGGGTCATTTCACCAATAAACTATTAAAACCAATAAACTACTGTACTATTAGGAGTTTTTACATTACATCAGGGCACTAACCTGACACAATGTAATAAAGCGAAAAGCAAAACAATAGCTCTCTTCTAAACTCTCTTCCATATACAGTATATCTTTTGTCCTGACCTGCTGTGACAAATAATAAACAACATTTCTAAGTTTGTATTTCGACAGAATATGAAATATATAATATATCCAGCATGTAAGCTTTTTTTGCTCAAGAGCATTAAATCCATGCTTCTTTCTTTCTTTCTTTCTTTCTTTCTTTTTCCCAAAATATACCTTCTGTGTTTCACAGTAGAAAAAAAGTCATATTGGTTTGGAATGATGTGAGGATGGGTAAATGATGATAAAATGATTTTTTTCCCCAGTGAACTGTTTCTTTAATATGATATTTATTAGCAAGAAATATGATAAAATTCTCGCCAGTGTTTACATTTGTGGTTCATCTTGTGCCGCGACCAGGTTCCTGTTGTGACCTGAGAGAACATGAGTGCAAACCTCACAATCGCGGCCTAAACAACAAGTGTTATGATGACTGCATGTGTGAAAAGGGTGGGTATGGCTTTTTTGGTTTCCTTAGAAGGAAAAATAACATTCTAGCAATAAACAAAATATAGAAAGGAATCTCATAAAACTCAGGAACATGTCTGGGTCTTACAGTATTTCACTAATAAATCAAAAGAAAGAAAGAGAAATACAATACTGAATTTTACAGAATTTTACTTAAAGGGGTCATATGATGCGATTTAAATTTTTCCTTTCTCTTTGGAGTGTTACAAGCTCTTGGTGCATAAAGAAGATCTGTAAAGTTGCAAAGACTAAAGTCTCAAATCCAAAGAGATATTCTTTATAAAAGTTAAGAGTCAGCCACACCTACCTAAAACGGCTCGTTCTAACATGCCCCCACATATCTACGTCACCCCATGACTGATGATGGACTGAGCTTTGAAGAATGTGGGTCAAAGTTAAATGTCCTCAGCCCACAGAAAAAATTTACATACACTGTTCATCTGCCTGTCAGGGTTCTGCACCATTCAGAATTAAATATAGAATGGCTTTTAAATTCTTGGATTTGAATTGAGGTAGCAATCAGGATACAGAATTAATTTGAAACAGGAAGTAGAATTGTATTTTTCAGTTTGAATTAATCATAAACGTTATCACACACTCAACATATGGGATATTTCTAGAAACACTAGATGATATTAATAATAAAATGTTTGAAATGCCATATAATCAAATTATGTTTTTGGACCATGGAATTAATCAAAGCCACCTAATGGACCACTGAATTTTTTTTAACATACTTTTACTAGTAGTACACTTGTGTGGATAGATGAGCTCCATATATTATGTAATTGATAGATTCAAATTTGGTCAGTATTTAAAACATTTTTTAAATAAAATTATTTGAAAACAATTTGGCGATTTTTTTGTGATGCAGGGAAAGGGTGGGTATGGCTTTTTTGGTTTCCTTAGAAGGAAAAATAACATTCTAGCAATAAACAAAATATAGAAAGGAATCTCATAAAACTCAGGAACATGTCTGGGTCTTACAGTATTTCACTAATAAATCAAAAGAAAGAAAGAGAAATACAATACTGAATTTTACAGAATTTTACTTAAAGGGGTCATATGATGCGATTTAAATTTTTCCTTTCTCTTTGGAGTGTTACAAGCTCTTGGTGCATAAAGAAGATCTGTAAAGTTGCAAAGACTAAAGTCTCAAATCCAAAGGTGGCATAATTAAAATCTGAAAATATCTGAAAAAAAAATCTGAAAACAAAAAGACACCTAAAATGTTTTCAAAAGTCTAAAAATGTACCTTTACACTCAGTTCATCACAGCTTCCAGCTGAAATGAACACTAGAGGCAGTAAAATGGCAACAACTTTCATCTCTTTTCAAACAAATGATGATTATGGGGACAGATTATCTATTAATAAACAGTTATTTTTCTGTGGTTCCTTGCACAGTATTATAGCATAACCTCAAAATGTTTTTACCATAGCACATGATTTGTGAATAAATACATTTGGACATTAGCATCACATAACCAGCTCCATATGTATGGCTTTTCTAACACAGTAAACTTGCTCAGTCTCTCACCCGGTACAGCACTGCACTTGAGTTCCACTTGAGTTCCATGAAACACAAGTCATGATAAAAGAGATCAAAGACTTGTAGAAAATCCCGTTGTTTCTTCAGCTAATGCATTTTTATCTCACATTTGCTTTGGTTAACACTGTTGGTTAGGTTTAATTGTAAGTGGTACAGTAAGTTATTTAATTTTCACAGGCATGTATTTATTTCCAATGAACCTTGGTTGGAAGTGAAAATGTCTTTAGTTTATTGAAATATGTCTGTTCAAAGACAAATGATTTGTGCGTATCAGGGATTAAATAGGCAGAGTTATACAATAATAGTGATTAAATTGATGATGCAATTTTTTTTTTTTAAATTACAATTCGGTCAATTCCTCTTTCTGTTATTCAAATTCCAATTCAACATTCTGACTGTGGCCAATTGAATATGAGAATTCACACTTATGAATTTAACGGAAGCCGATTCTTAAATTATGAATTTTGCCCAACCCTGCTGTTTGTCAAAACTTACATATAAGTTCGTACAGAATCATTTGTGTCTGAATGGAAGGCTTTTCTACTGATTTATTGATGTACTACTGTCAAAAACCCCTGTATTAATGGATAATGATTTGTTTGGTTTATTTGTAATATATGCTTTATTTATTCAAGTACCAAACAGCTTCTTTTATTGAGAGATGTATCAATGTGCTCTTCTTTAACGACTATGTCAGAACGCTCTGACAGAAAGATGGATGGGTGAATGAGTGATTGTTACCTGTATGGGTTAGAGGGATAGAGATGGACAGAGGAGATTGAGGGAGAGATGGATGACTTGTCAGTTTAAATCACTGAGCTTCTTTATGTTCTGACACACCTCACTGTCTTGATTGAACTGTTTATTAGACTTTTATGTTAGTGGAGCTGAAATGCTTTAGTCTTTGTAAAGTCTTTTCTGTCACATTGTTTTCAACTTGAAATTTCTCACGCTCGATAAATTGTCGATTATTTTTAACTGGTATACCAGAAATAAACTTAACTAAAGGACACTAGGATCCTAACAGTTTTTTTCTCCATTACAGACGCTCTGAGAAAATAGCACACTCTGATATATTATTGCAAATATTTAGGTCACAAAAATATTAAGTTTCCCTACAACCTTTCAAAACCGTGTGATTAGGAAAGACAACAGTTACATTTGAAGTAGTACACTTCATGTTACCATGCACTGCTACTGTAGGTTCATGATCTAAATGCATGGGGTACTCTGATGACTTGCTACTTACTAGCTAATATGTGTAGTGTACATGACTGTGCTTAGTACTGTCTCCCACAATGCAACAATGATTGACTGGATATAATATAAGCTATTTTTTTTTTCTTGACTAGATGTGATATTTTCCCCAAACCAACAAAATATGCAATCCCGCCTCACAGTCGATTCTAATGGTTTTATTGGTCATGTAATTCACAGTGTTAAACGCATACACAACAATGAAACAAGTCTGAACAGGTGACGGCTCAATTGAGTTGAACAATAAAATTAACTGTGGGATGGGGTTTGTGATTAACTGGTTAGGCAAAAAATTTTTTTTTAAATCATGCTCTTAGGTCAGCCATATTGTGTCGTAATTGTAAATTTTGTTGTAAAATGCTTTGTTTCATCAACGCATTGATGTACTGTGACGAATGTATCAGCATCATACACTGAGAGTACATGAGAAGTTGACAAAGGATGTAGGCAAAATGTCACAAAATTGTAAAAAAATATTTTAACCACCAGATTCCAACCATAACCGCATTAGATTCCTTGTGTAGCTACATACTTTTTCAAACTTCTCTTATAGATTTAGGTGAAATCATCTTCAGACCATGCTGGCCATATCAAGTTGAAACATCAAACCATTCTCATATAACGCATCAGTGAATTATAATGAAACATGAAAATGAAACAAATTATAGGCAGGAGAAGATACAGAAGATATGTATTTATTACTTTTGATTATGTTTTTTGAATTGTGCTGCAATATGGTTTGCAAAAGAATTCGTTTGAACTTTATTGCATGATTTATCTAAACTACAGGAATTTTGATATTAATCAAAAAAGGCATCATCTGTAGGTATTAAAGAGAATTTTATTAGCACAATTACACAAAAAGGTGAACACTGGCGGTAAAGCATAGACTTGCCATTGAATCTAGAACCTCAGGCAGTGTATGATGCCTCTGAAAAACTTCCTCAGAGAACTCTATAATGCATGGATGTGTCCTCTAAACTGACTAATAGTCTGTGGCATTGTCTCTGTCCAGGGACTGGAAGGCTCTCTGCAGAGCAGGTGACCTTGCTTTCTCTGTCTCTGTGTCTTTCTGCCTTCCTTGCTGTTTATTTATCTTCCCATTCTCTTTGTGTATTCTGTGTCACACTTGCTTCCTGAGTATCACTGTTTCTTGTTTTTCACCTTCAATTTATCACCCCAACACATAACCAACACATATTAGAAGTTCTAAATGAATAATTTCTCTAATAATCTAACCTTTCAGAGATGGTTATTGATCCAGGTTAGCAATATATTTTTCCTACTGGCGAAAGCTAGGATATCCAGTTTAATAGGATAAAGGTTTGTTTAAAAAAATTATTAATAAATTACATTTTTGAGGAATTGCACCATTGACATTTTACAACCTGAACTAACTGCTTGTCATAAAAGGCTCAAATTATAGACATAAGGGTCAAGCGGGGTCCTCTCTATGATTTAATATGTGTGATTATATGTGTGTTATGTTTTCTGAAGGTTGAGCACACCACATGACTTTAATTATCTACTGCATACAGAACTGTTTAAAATTAGCAGCTGCTACAAAGTTAACAATCAAAATACATGTTACCTTCCTCCTATACCGACTGTAACTCAGTTTTGAAAAAAAAAAAAAAGCATCACACTCTTGTGCTTTTAAGCAGATCGAGCTGATGTATTTTTGATGCAGTCTCATGCTGGGCTTGGCTGGTCTTGGAGTGAGGCCACAGAAATGATATATCACATTCACACACATCCCGATTGGACACTCACTGCACAACACTGTCACCCCAGGAGCTGCATTGACTATAAAACAGTCAATAAAGCATGGCATAAGAGTGAGGGACAGAGAAAGAGATGTTTCCTTATGCACTGCTGTTGAAATGCAGTAGATGTACATTCAGTAGATAATATTCACCATAAGAAATCGTCTCAGGTTACTTATGTAACCATGGTTCCCTGAGTAGGGAACGAGACACTGCGTCCTCTAGGGGTCGCTATGGGGAATGCCTCGTCGTGACCCGTGTCTGAAGCATGCTGTCCCGGGGGCCTGATGATCAAGAAGACTCCCACAGAAGCCTGTGATCTGGCCGCATGATCCAGGAAGTATGAAGCCGAAACCCGGCTTATCGTACCGTCTGGACATATATCGACAAGTGAGATAAACATATCTCAGCATATTTTTACATTTTAGATGTACTACAAACCATCCAGTATCCACAGAAATTTTGCATGCTCAAAGTCTAGTGTGACTGTGGCTTAATAGTGAAACACACACACACACACACACACACAACTACATCTTATGTGCATCATAACACTGTCATTTGTGAAGACAAGCCTAATATATATCAGAGGTCAAACAGGAAGATGAACCTTTTTGCCAGACTCTCAAACAACAAAGTAACTGATTTCCCATATGACATGTGAAAACCTTCCAAAGTAGGTTTTGGTTCCTCTAGCTCAAATCTGAGCTATTCGTCAGACTTAGTGACATATGCTTCCAAAGAACTGTCCCAGGTGTTATTAAAATCATGGTTCACAGCTGGCTAATTGGACCAGCAGCATCTATCAAATTCAGTTTTGTTGAATTTAGTAATTTCATGTCCATAAGCATGTGTGTCTGTGTAGGAGCATTTAACAAATCATTTATGAGCACAGGCTATGTTTTATTTAGTTATGAATGAGCCAAGAGGTATGTGCAATGTATTTAGGTTGTTTCTGCTATGACAAGTCTTTAAAGGACTGCGTATTAAAATAACATGAGCCACAAAACGATGGGAGCTGAAGAATAACTTGTCAAACTCTGTTTAGATGCATTGATATTTTTCTAGAGCCAAACAACATGCACAATGACAGAAGACATAAAGGAAAAGGAAAAAAACAAAAACATAAAACCCTATGGATCATGAACCCTATTGATCTCTCTTATAACTTTCAGAAAACAAGATGTTATTGTAAATATGTACCAGGGGTGAATCTAGAAAATTATTATGCTCTCATATGTTCAGATGGAGTAATGAGTTGTGGGAGGTGTAGTCACATGGCTCTGGTCATGCTGAGTGTCACATGGTTTATGCTGGTGTCACATGGTTTATGTTTGTAGTCACTTCAGAGAGCTGAGCAAACTTCTGTTACACACAGTTACGATGAAAGTGTTTGAGGCTTCCTTTGTGAAATACTGAAAACTACAGAGGGACACTAAATCATAAAGGGGCAGTGAAACTATGGAAATACCAGCAATAAATCTCAAGGTAATGTATTTGTTTCATTCAGTATGTGTGTTGTACAGTGAGTACATTGATATAAAAAAAATCCATTGCTAAATGATCCATCAAAACCTTAAAGATCAAAAGAAAAAGGTTGTTTTATTTAAAATATTTCTACACTTTTTATGATACAGGAAACATTAAATTTGTTAAATAATTTAGCAGTAACTTAATTATCTATTACCTATTATCTATCTACCTATTATCCAGTAAAGCAACTTTTTGTCCGTTTTGTTACTTTATTTCCTCAGTTTTGCTTATTATTATAACCAGGAACCAGTAAGATTCTGAATGGATATAGTAGTGCTGTAAATATATTTATTTTATTCATTTTGGACAGAATCGTTCTTTTGTATGGGTTCATATCCTCATCATTATAGAAACGCATTGCATTTATTAAAGGTATTTGTATTTGTTCTGGGCACTGTGAACTTTAGAGATGCCCCAGATCATAGGTGCAGCAACATTTTTGGGCATGTAAGCCCAAAAAGGCCCATGACTGAATGTTTACTGGGTTTGAGCCACGGCCTATGTCTAGGGAACAGATTTGTACATTTACTCATGAGCTGCACTGTGTGTGTGTGTGTGTTTGTTTTCTGCAGGCCATCGTGTTGGCTCACTGGTTACTGACAATCTGGTGAGAGTTATGGTGCATTTGCCTTTCTCGTTTCTGTTTTCCCACACTAACCTGTGGAATTTCACCATTAGTAAAACTTTAGTATCCAGTTTTTAGTGCAACAGAAATGGAAATATATTTCTTCTCCAGACTAAAAAATTCAAGCCTCTAAATGTGTGTGTATATATAACATTTGAAGCCATTTTCATATTGTATTGTATTAATAAATTATGTAACAGATTAATTTGAATTAATTTGAATTGATCTCTTCTCTCAGTTAGTGTGGTACATTGTCTGTAGTAGCAGCTGGAGCTATGCTGGCTGCACAGGTCACGGAAATATGCTTTGAATTTAGGTGGTACTTGAAGCTTGAATGCTCTGACAGTAGAAAAATTGCTTATTATACAATTTATGTATGGATAAGAGGACAATGAAGTGTTCATTTGCTGTATTTTTTTTTTTAAATCACTTTATTGTTTTATTTATTTTAGCAAACTGAGTTATATTGACAGCCCTAATTAAAATGGTTTGTATGCAGGTTTTAATCCATGTTTGTATGCAGGGCATGTTCGATCACCTGGCTTCCTACTTCTTACGTGTTGGGGAACGTGAGTGCTCTTGCAGTGGGAGTGTGGGCCATTGCACAGAGAGACTCCATAGACGCTGTATTAATGGTAGGTGTGACTTTTTTTCATCCAAGAAGAACATGATTTTTAGGTCATGAAGGCTTAAAGACAAACATTTTATTCAATATTGATGACAGATGGGAAATCCACAGCTTGAGTCTTGCATAGCCAGAATTTTGACTATAAGGTCTGGTCCACATTACAGTTAACTGTCAGGATAAACCACCCTCTTAGACAGGAAAAGAGCATCTGACTGACGTGTAAAGCAAGAAATTCCAGTTTGTTTGGTTTTTGTGTGCCATTTAGGGGTGAGTTTATCTGAAATAGATTGTGTAATGTGTATAATGTGTAATGCATAAAATTGTATTATACATGTAACTTAGTTTGAATTAATTTGAATTAGTGTTCTTCCTGATACAAAAAAATTTCTGTGTCCTCCTCGCCGGAAGTTGTCTAAAGCCAGCCAATCAGATTCGAGCTTACGAGATGGGCCATGAGCATGCTGAGATTATTTTTTGACCTTCTTATGTGTTTGTACATAGTATATTTGCCATACTAATATTTGATCTCTTCTCTCCTTCATTCAGTTCTTGATTGGATTGGCAGTGACCATCCTGACTGACATTGTTCATTTTGGGCTGTACTATGCGGAGGTTGAAAGCCATTATGAGAGAAACCTGGACTTGTTCCGCTTTTGTGGGGGCATGGCCATCCTGAGCCTGCTGCTCAAACCTGTTTCCTGCGTCTTTGTCTACCAGATGTACCGTGAGCGGGGTGGTGAATACAACGTCAACTTCGGTAAGTGGGTGACCGAAGGCCCGGGGGAGAAAGAATAGAAGAAAGTGACTGATTAATTTTGGTTCAGAGTGCTTTCTGATGCATGTGAAAGTCTTTCCGTGAGGTTAAAATGCCAGCATTGTTTGCTTTGGTTTGTTTAAAGCATTATTGAGTCTATTTTAGGTATTATAATTCCTAGCTCACTGATTGTGGAGCACAAGCAGAGTATTTCACTCAAAATGGCAAGCAAAATGAGTAAAAAGAGGAGCGTTTAATTGAGTTTTAGGGCTGGTCACAAGGCAGATGCCTGACAGAGCGGCCCACAGAAAAGACAAGAGACAGACAGCTTGACTGATCTCTGCAGTCTGAAAAAAAAGGGCTTGGGCCTAAAAGGATCAAGCCAATTTAGACTGATTCCTTACTGTTAATTCTTTATTATCTGTGATCTTAGTATTTTAGCTGTTTTGTTGAGATCTTAATCCATTTATATAGTGTTAGGATTATTTCCCTAGGTCTTTTATTTACCCTGTAAAGTCTGACATATGAAATAATAGTCAGAAAAAAAACCTAAAAAATAGTTTACAGAAATTACGTTTTTTTTTTTTGAGTATCATAGATCACTTGTATGATTACAGTATGATAAAAAAAACATGGACACCTCAGTTTTATTCAACTGAGCAAAAATATGAAATTTGACGTAAATATCATTTGCTATTTATCTGGTCAAAAAGTAAGATGAAATTCAAATGGCTTGCAATGTAAATCAATGAGATCTTTATAACATGATAGCAGACTATTTACACAAAATGCATATAAATATCATTTGTCACTCTATGGGCCCTATCATACAGCTGGCGCAATGCGGCGCCAGGCGCGACGCAAGTGGTTTTTGCTAGTTTCAGCCCGAGGCAGTTGTCATTTTCACGTCCTGCACCACGTTGTTTAAATAGCAAATGCATTTGCGCTCATTTGTGTGCACATGGGCATGCTGGTCTGAAAACGAGGTGTGTTCAGGTGCATTACTGGCGCGTTGCTATTTTGAGGCAACTGAAATAGACTGCGCCATTGCCTACATGTCATAGGCTAATGAATTGTCATTCCATGCATTTAGATCCGTTTCCTCTCTGGAGACGATTTCTGTCTTTGGGAATGGGAATGGGAGATGAGACTCTGATTGGTTTATTGCACGTTATGCCCAAA